TTCCATTAAAAACTGGGGGAAATCATGAATTCCTAAGGTTGAGACATAGGCAAAGTCAGTCCGCTGGTCCGGTATTCTTCAATCTAACCAAATTACATCTTTAGTTTTAAGAAACATTTGTAACCGGTACAACAATCCATTCTTTGGATAGGCCTACTCCATTCCAGTTATGCAGGAAGACAGACTCGTTTTTTGCCTCCTATTGTGTGAATTTTTCTTCAGCTATCCCCAGATCTATTTATAGTTTCCAGCACGCATGCATCAGTGCCTGGCCTGGCGCATAAGACCCCACCCACTTTTTTTGGTAGGGGAGGTAATTCTCCAGATTTGGCAGCATTGCAGAATTACACACCCCTTGCATAGTGCATAGCAGAGGAAGTACACGGTGAAATTACCAATTGAATTGAGGTGGTTTAAATTGATTTGTTTAGAGTTAAAGTGATTTGGTACATGTCGATGATTTGATTTATTGGTCATAGAATCTAAGTGAGCGGACTTTCATGTCGAAGAACGTCCAGTATGTTCGAGATCTGTAAATTCGTTGAGTCCATGCATTATTTTGTGTTCGTTCATTCATGATCATGTCTGGTCGGATTTGACTGTTGTTGAGGCGACTCCACGACTCGACTATCGTTGTTGTTCTCTTCTTCCACTTCTTGATTTGGATTTTGATATCTAGATTCTTGATCTCGATTAGATCTAAGATCTAGATTCTAATACATCGTATTATATCTCTAGATCTTGTTAACTGAGATAGATCTCAGATCTACTCTTTTAAATCGAGTGGAGATCTAGTGTACAGCAGCAGTGTAAGTGTAAGTAAACATTCTCGAGTCGGGTGTTGCGACATAATTTCAATGACGTTTTAGCTATCCTCACTTGACTTGACACTGGCTAGCCTAGCTAACCCTACCCATTTGTCTTGAACAACTAGATATCTAGATCTAGGTCTGACACCACTTAATATTTTGATGTTAGTTCTAGTTTGAGAGCATCTCTAAGTTTACAAGGTTCTGTCCGTCCCATCACTTTACTTTACTTTCATATTTGTTAGAAGAATGGGTAAAGTTTACTGATGCACCCGCACACAAAAGCACTGTTTACGGTGACTTGACTAGATCTAGATAATCTAGTTCTAACATTTTTTTTGGGTGTTGAAAATTAATATGGCCTTGAAAATTGCTGCAAATCAGTGCTTTACGAGAAAAATGCTACGTAATATTGCACAAGAAAAATGATGGGCAAACGCAGGGGCCCCCCCTGAACCCAACCCCCTTGAAACTGCATTTCACTTTGAGTTGATGTTTTGACAATTAGGATTGATATATATA